CTGGAAAAAGCAACATAGTGCATAGTCGAGATGCCTCCTTTGCTTATTTATCTATTTCCTTTTGTCAACAAACTCTTTGTGATCATATCCATATTTATTGACCTGCACCAAACAAAAATATGCAGCAATTAATTAGAGATCCTCAATAATATAGCTTCTTGTTTTTCATAAAGCTTCCCATAAGTAATGCTTTCTCATTTTATGATAATCTCAAGCAAACACAAAAGAAACAAAAGTAAAAAACATTGCTTCATGATTTTGACATGGACAATAAACAGCTTTAAGTCATACCATGTAACCATGGATCCATCGTCCATTAATCCAGTCCTGATGAGGCCTCAAATTGGAATGTTTAAACTCTAATTCCTCACCCGTGGAGCTGAAGTAGACAACATACTTTGAGCCGCTTAGAACTTTGGAAATGGTACCCTCCCACCATCCATCATTGTACAAAGTATCGACTTTCTGGAGCACCTTGAACTGAGCAACTGGTGGAAGCCGAGGGGGGCAAGGTCTAATATAACTTGCATATGTTTCTTCTCTTAAGAGCTCTGTTCCATCATCGGTTACCAGATGCTCGTATTCCACCAGAAACTTGTCGCTTCCTATATGGTCAATTATTTTAGCAGTGTACCAAGCACCCTTGTAACCTTCATCATCACTGCTAACCTCCACCACAGTCCCATTTTCGAAGCTTGCCCCCGATGTTCTCTTGCTGCACTTGAGTTTCAATACCAACTTTCTGGACTTCACCGGTGACGTTTTCTGCTCAAGATTTCACAAACTGAGTAGACATTCGAAACCAAGAAATTTATAGAAGAACGATCACACAGAAATGCATAACTAGATACACATGGCAGGCATTAGCAACCAGTGAATTACCATAACGTCAATATCAGAAATCAAATACCATAAGCCACTTTACAAAGTTGCACCAAACGTCAAGAAACAAAGCAAAGCATAACAGCTGACAACATGTGCAATTTAAAATCGAGTTATGATTTCAAACCATTTTCCTTAGTTGCCTGCCTGAGACATATTTGCTTGAATATATATATAAAACATAATAATTGAATGTCAACCACAACCACTTGCAGCAAGAATCTACATACACATATAACAAATTATATAATGTCATTGCACTCTTATTATAGCATTTCTATCTAACAGAAAACACCATAAGGATATAAAAAGGAAATTAAAATAGACTTGAAACGCATCAATTCCAGAGTGAACTTCAAAAATTTCATAAAGAAATTAAAACCCAGCACCAGAAGCACAAACATAAAACTAAACGCACCAAAGTTTCACCCAAAAAAACAAAAAAACAAGAACCCATCAAGCAAGAACATAGAAAACAAGTTTAAATTTTTTTTTTAAATAAACCTCTTGTTGAAAATGAGGGACCCACGAGTCATCTTCCCACTCTCTATGCAGCCTCAAATTAAACTGCTGACACTGAAATTCTTGACCCTGGAACGCAACCAAGTACTTGGAATTCTCCAAAATATCCCTGACAGTCCCGCGAGACCACCCTTTATCTCTGAAGGCGTCGACGTCGTCACCGACTTTGAAGAACTGGTAGAGCTCTTTGGGGGGCGTAGGCCTGGCATTGCGCAATTCGACAATCTCGGTTAGGGTTTTTGAGCCGTCGGCGTTGGGGGTGGTTAGGGTTTGGTGCTGGACCAACATGTGGGCCTTGTCCTTAAATACAGGACGGAGCACCGTGGCTGGGTAGTAGGGCCCGGTGGAGCCATGGCCTGGCCTTGTGA